AAGGTTTCAGTTATCTGAAGTCAACTAAGCTTGACTCCAGAGATAGTAAGTTTTCCATCTTCACAAACAAGAATGCCAGAGGACAGAACCACTGCTGGTCCAGCTCAGACCACTTCCCTGAAAGCCAAGAGAAAAGTCAGCATTCTTTAGTCCCCACACCACCCCCTTCAACTGTAGGGTCCAATGGGGCAGGTCTCACTCCCTCAGTAACACCTCTGGGGATTTAAGACACAGTAGATTCCAGGTATGCTCTCCTACTACCCTCCCAGCTGCCTTCCTTGCTTCCTGGCCAAGATATTCAGATTGAAAGGTTGGGGTAGCCAACAATGGCCACCCTCATCCCGCTGGAGGGCAGCTGGGCCAGCCAGGAGTCTACTTTAGGAAGATTTAATCATCTTAACTTTATTTCCTGGGCTGGTGTAGTCTCCTAACCCACCTACCAAGTATCCTGAAGAACAAGTTGTCAAAATACAAACGACTACATACACAGTCTTTATAAAAACTTACTATAAGTGCACTTTAAGCACTTCGCTGGATGCATGTTATATCTCCATAAAAAAACAGAAAACGTTAAAAAGGAAGTAGGTTCCTACTTAACACAGGAAACCGGTCAGAGCCCTGCAGAAGCCCGGCACCGGACAAAAAGGAGGAGGGAGAGGGGACTCCGATGATGCTTCCCGCCGGGTCCAGCCCTAACAGTCAGTTTTCCTGAGGACTTGGGTCCTCCCCTCTAACTTCGAGGTAGCCCTGGTTGGTTTCCTCGTCCGCCGGTTCCTGCGCTTAGGTGTGCAGGCTGCCAACATGCCCTCTTCGGGTTCGCCACCCTCCTCCGCCTCCCCTCCCACCCAGCTCGCTCCTGCCTCGCGACCAGGCGAAGGGAGTCCCGGGACCGCTACACCTCCGGGGGCAGCCGCGCCTATCAGCTGCCAGCAGCGCCGCTATCCGAGTCCACTGACTCAGGGCTTTCAACCTACGCGGTAAGCAACTTCCATTCCAAAGTGGGGAGGAACCAGGTTTCACAGACTCCGGATTCTCGAGAAGTTTCCGAGACGCGCAGCGCACAAGTCACTCTCGTGGGTCACTTTGGTCTTCACGGTGTCCACAGTCGAGTGCGAGTCCATGAAAAGTTAAGGATCTCCGCCCTTCGTAAAACACAGGCCTAGGCAATGAGCCCAGGAAGCGCCCCTCCCCTCCCCGGCCCCCGACCGCTGCGCCTCCAACTGCGCCTTGTGAAACCGCCGAATTCGAATTCGCACTCGGCCGCCCGAGGCGAGCGCGCCCGCGAGCGGAGAGACTGCCGGCAGGGAAGGGGCGGCGGGGGGCGCCGTCTGATCCGGGGAGGGAGCTGAAGGCGCCCATCACACTCTTCCGACGCCATGCCTGCGCCCGGCCGGCGCTCAGCCCGCAAGACGCGCAGAGCAGGAACTCGCTGAAGTTTGCCAAGCCCGGGCTCAGGACTCTGGAAAGTTGCAGCTCCCTCTTGGAGCGTCTCTTCTGGCCGTCGGGGGCGGGTGTGTGAAGGGCGGGGGTCGTCGCGGGAGCAGGAGGGGAAAGGAGCAGTGGGTCCTGGCACCTGTCCGTACCTCCCCTCCGAAGGTTCCCCCACCAGGCTTGGCAAAGACTTGAGCACCGCTTGGCGGGGACAGACCCTCGAGGGCAGAGCGCGCGGCTCACTAGGGCCGCCGCCGCATCCTCACACCTGTAGAGGAGGGGACGGTGGACTCACCTGGGCGGTGGAAGAGGAGGCGACAGAGGAAGGTCCTTGGCGTGGGCAGCCCCCAGGAGGAGCAGCACGGTCACTACGGCCCCCAGGCAGCGGCACCAAAGTGAGCGGTCCCGCCGCCGCCCCCTCCGTTCTTATACGGCAGAACCACGCCCCCGCGCCTCCGTCCCCGTCCCCCGTCCCCGCCCCAGAGCCTGCCCTCCCGGGGGAGCCAGGGGCGGGGTGGGGCGGAGCCAGTCCCCACGGGATCCTTCCGCCCCGGCGCTGACGGCGGGGGGCGGGGCGAAAGCTGCACTCTGATTGGCTCTTCGGGTGAATGGTTGCCGAGAGACGAGTAAATCTCCAGCCGCAGGCAGGGGCGGGGGTGCACAAGGCGGTAGCATTGCGCAAGCGCAATAGAGAGGGGCTGCGTCGGCACCCGCTTAACTTCAGAGTTACTGGGATACACCTTTATACTTTACAGGCTTTTCTGCCATTCCTATCGCATAACTCCACCCCTCCGAGTTTTCCCCATCTCTAACCTGCTCCCCCGCAGGCCTGTTTTTCTTCTGCTTCTCCGGGAATTTTCGCGCTGGTTCTTCCTCTCTCCAGGAATGGGGAGTGAAACGCCCATGCCTACCTCCGGCGTGTGTTGTTGAAGTCGGAAAAAAACTATGGTTTCTGGGCCCTGGGCACCTTTCTGATTCCCCAGGCAAATTAGCTGGAGGTGAAGGCGTGGTCTTTGGGGAAAGAGCGCAGTTGGTTCTCTGGCCCTGGGGACCACCTGTGTGCAGTTAGTGGGACTAAAGCCTCCGGAGTCCATCGCCAAAGTTGGCAACCACCACAGCATCAGCCCCGCTCGGAATGCCACAGGGCTTAGTCGAGTATGTTATATAACATGCAGGCGGGGCTTGGACACCATCCATTCATTCCATAACAAGTGGTTTCAGCCCAGGTTCTGAATCAGACTAACCTGAACTGAGATCTCTATTCACCACTTACACTGAACGGCCTTGGGCCAATAACTTAACCAGCCCTCCATAAACCTCCTGTGTAGGGTTATATAACTTTTACGAAAATACTTGGAAAGTTATTAATTAGTGCAGTATCTGTTATAAAGTGTGCGGTAAATGCTATTTGTATCTAATGGTAGCCATTGTTATTTTTCAATAAACATTTATTGAACTTGTATTGATTCTCTACTAGGTGCTGGAGAAAAAGAGTACTTCCCTGATGCAGTATTGAAATAAGTGTGGTTCTCAGTGTCTGCCCGGCTGTAAAGAGTTCTCAAATATGCGTCTTCCCTGATGAGGGGGAGGGGAGTCTCCAGGAACTTTAATGGAACAGGACATCAGTATGAGGGCTTACAGGGAAAGCCACAATGACCCAATTATTAGACACAATATCAGGACAAATGGTCTGTTTTTTTTTTGTTTGTTTTGTTTTGTTTTTTACTTTTTGAAGTATAACATTCAGTAAAGTGCACAAATCTAAAGTGTGAAAAATGATGAATTTTTACATATGCACGCACCATATAACTGCCACCAGATCAAAATATAGAACCTTTCCATCTCGTTCATGCCCCTTCCCATTCAGTATCCCACAAGGGTAACCACTATTCTGACTGCTATCACCATAGATAGTTTTAGCCATGTTTGAACTTGATAAGGATGAAATACATAGTATGTGCACTACTTTGGTGTCTGGCTTCTCTCACTCAACAGTATGTCTACGAGATTCAGCCATATTGTTGTATGTAACAATGGTTATTCTTTTTTCATTACTGTGTATTACTTCATTATATAAACATTCAACAATTTCTGTACTCGTTCTACTGTTAGTGGACACTTGAGTTGCTTCAAGCTTTTGCCTTTCGTGAATGAACTGCTGCAAACATTCTTATACATGTCTTTTGGTGGGTGTAGCATTCATTTATGTTGGGTAGATACCCAAGATTGGAATTCCTGGCTCATAGACTATACACATATTAAGCTTTAAATACACTGCCAAGCAGTTTTCCAAAGTTACTACAATTTATGTTCCAACCAGTGATAGGTGATTTCTGGTTGCTCCACATCTTTGCCAGTATTGGTATTGCCAGTCTTTTTAATTTAAAAAAGGGTGTGACTTTTGTTGTGATTTAAATTTGCATTTCTCTGATAATCAATACTGTTGAGCAACTTTTCAGATGCTTATTGTCCACTTTCATACCCTTTTAGTGAAGAGTCTGTTCAAGTCTTTTGCCCATTTGTGGGGAGTTATCTGTCTTAATGATCTATGAGAGTTCTTTACATGGTCGGGATATGAGTCCTTCTTCCAATGTAAGTATTACAAATACCTTTTCCCAATCTGTGGCTTGCTTTTTATTGTTTTAATGTTATCTTTTAATGAACAGAAATTTCTTAATTTTAAGGAAGTCCAATTTATTCATCTTATCTTTTATGACTAGTGTTTTTTTATGCCCCGTTTAAGAAATCTCCGCCTATCCTAAAGCCATAAAGATGATCTCCTTTGTTTTCTTCTAAGAACTTGATTGTTTTTAGCTTTCACTATCTGTAAGGCCTCGGGCAAGTAATTTAACCATCCTTCCATAAACCTCCAATCACAAGAAAATTAACTGCCTTTGGACCCTTTCTACTTTTTGATTGCCTCATGGATACCATTAGCACAGGTAGCCTCAAGGTAGAACACAGGGCAGAAATTCTTAATCTAGAATTTGATCTAGCATGGTTTAGTTCCACTCTTCTTAGGTAAAACTGTGTTCAACTTCCTAGACAAAATTAGGCAATTCTATGGTGGGGAAGAGGGGAGAGCTAAGAGCCAGAAAAGAAATTCATTATTCATTCATGAATATATATTTTTCCTTGGGCCCTTTTTTATTTCTGGGGCATTAATCAACTTTTCTAGAATTTTGTTTCAGCTTTTTTGTTTCTTTTTTTTTTTTTAATACACTGTGTTCTTTCTACCTCATAAAACTGGCATCCTGGAGCTGGAAGGAGTCTTAGAAAGTCACCAAGTCCTACCCATTGCACATGGAACCAGATACTGAAACTGTTCTTTCATGATTATTTGACCTCCTTTCTGCCAAATCGGCCCCCGCTGGAGCACATCCAACCAAATGGTTTAAACACCTTCTTTGCATTCTGAGTGATTCACTGACTTATATCTAGGAAAACTGACAGAGGGAAAAAAGATAGATGAAATACTCTTTAAAATGAAGATGTGCCTCACTTGTAGCAATGATTCTGAAAAAGTTTTATGTCTCAATAGAATCTTATTTTAAGTACTCCAGAGAAGCAAAGAAATTCTACCACAGTCCTTTTGTAAGGCAAGAAAGACCTTTTGTATAGTGCTTAATTATCCCTCGATTTATGAGTTTCTTTGAGCAGTTTCTTAAGTCTCGAGTTTTTGTATTACTTTATCTTAAGGTGGGTCACCATTAGAAATGCTTACTCAAATGCCCTCCTCTAAATGCCTTCTTTTTCTAATAATGATTTTTACGTAACATTTTTATGAATATATATCAATAACATACATGTAGAGAAGTGTACAGCTCAATGAATTTCACAAACTGAACAAACCTGTGTCACTAGCATACAGATCAAGAAACAAAGGAACATCAAAGCATTCTTAGGCATATTTTAAAACCACCACAGTGCCCTTGTCTACATACTAGTGAGTCTCTGGAAAGACATGACCTGGCTTTCCAGTTTCTGCCTAGAACTCTCACCAGTAAATCCCTCTCTCCTCTCTGGCTTCTTCAGGCCAATATTTTTCTCAGGTGTTGCATGGAGGGAACTAGGTTTGGAACGAGATGGTATAAGTTTTATTTGGAGAAAAGTCCAGAATTAATGGAACCTAGGACTGGTCCAATTTGATGGAATAGGAACAGGAAGTGGGCTGCATCTTTGGGCACGACTATAGCAGCAGGCTCAGACCTAGCATGGCAGTGAGGCACTGCTGCCCGGGCAATGTCAAGGGGTTGGGATGGGGTCTAGAAAGAGGAAGGGGTGATGGTGGAAGTGCCAGAGAAAAGAAGATGCCAAAGACAAGCAGTGCTGCCTTCCTCCCTGCAGCCCAGGTATCTCTACACTTCTTCCCTGCCCACCTCCCTGACAGTCCCTGGAGAAAGGATATAGGGTTGAGTCAGATGTCTATAACCCTGTCACAGCCAAGCGTAACCTTGCACAAATGGCTCAACTTGTCTGAGTCTCAGCCTCCTAATCCAAAAACGGAAATGATAATAACAGTGAGCCTACCTGCTTCACGCAGTCGTGTGCAGATTGAAGGAAGCGATGCATACACATACATGAAAGCAGTTGCCCCATTCGCAAGATGCGTCTTTTTGCCAACCATGTCCCTTTTCTCATTATGCTGTCGGGATGGCTTGGCAAGCAGATGAGAGCAGAGGAGGGTAAACTCTCCATTGCTACCTTCATTGCTAGGGCCCCAGATTTCTTATCCAAGGATTAATGTTTTTCAAATCTCTCTTCTGAGAAAAGGGATTCCATGAAAGTGTAAATTGTTGATTGACCATTTCACAGCTCTAGGCCAACCACTGGGTCCACTCTGAACCTGCCTTATATTTAGGCCCAGTATGTCTCTCTCACCAGCCTGCCACAGGGTCTGAAGCTTCCAGCACTAGAGTCCATTCCTGCTGGGGAAGAGACTCCTGCCGCTCCCATACAGCTTGCCAGAGGAAGAGGACGGCCAACTGCCCAGAACATCCAACTTACCTAACACATGCAGTTCTCGGTGTTCATCCATTGGTCTTCCAGTCCTTGTTATCGTCTGTTTCTTACCTCTAAGCAATCAAAAATGACTCTGGCTGATTTAAGCAAAATGGAACTTATTTAAAAGACACTGGGGAGTCCACAGGATCAGCAGAATAGTTGGAGAATTTAGCCAATTGGCTCTGCTACCAGGAACAAGGCCTAAAAATCATATTGCAGAACTGTCCAAGGAAGACACCACAAAGTCACCATAGACATTGGCAGCAAATATGATCACTGCTGCCTCTAGAAATGATGTAATTGTCTCCACCAGCACTGCTGCCCCCCTGGACAATTGGAGTCTTTGCGTTCCTGTGTCCCTGCTTCTACCCATCACTAGTTTCTCATTTGAAATCCTGGGTGGGTGGGTATATCTAATCAGCAGAGCCCAGATGGTGTGGCCATGGCTGCAACAAGGGCTGGGAGACAGATTATCTGATATTTTCAGTGTTAACCCTGGGAAGTAGGCTCTGCCTCTTAAGGTAGAGGATTCTC